CGCCCGGAGGCGGCCGGGCGCAGGCAGCGAGCGTTCCCAGCTGCCGCTCCAGTCTCCTCCTTTTCCCTCTGCCCGTCTGGCACGGGCTTCATTAGCGCTGAAAGCTGTTAATGTCTGGTCTCACAGCTCCCCCTTCAGTCTTGCCGCGCTCCCTGTCTCGCGTTCCAAGCCGGATCAATAGCCGCCTCTCGGCCGACCTTGACCTCCCCCTCGACCCCGCCTGGCTTCCGCACCTGGCCCACACTCTGGTTTCCCCACTCGCCTGATGCAGAGACAGCGGGCTGGCGGGGTGCACAGCCCGGTTCCCCCAGTTCCTCACCAACCCAGGCCTGCGGGGAATCCAGTGCACTGAACAGGTCAGGCACCCCTTGATGGACCAAGCCTCTGGAAACAGTCACCCCCACCCCAAAAGGGGGCTGCACATTTGGAGGGTGCGTGTCTTACACATGAAAATGGGAAAACGTGCAAGCGCAAGTGTGGTCCTGCTCTGAGCCTCTGTCACGCTCATGTCACAAACACTGCTGCAGGCCCACTGCGTGCCAGGCCTGTGGAGTGCAGCAGCCTGCACACCAGAATCGGGCAGAAAGGCCTCATCTTCCGCAGTATCTTGAGAACAAAGGTGGATGACTAGAAGTTTTTTTAAATCCCAATTATTTCCCTGCTTTGGTTTTTCCAGCTTCTCAGCTCATTCCTCAAGATAACCCCTCTATCAAGGAGTTCAGAAATCTAAATCCTTCCACTGAACCAGAGCACCTATTCACTAACCCTGTGTGTCTGTCTAATTCGCTATGTGCTCCGTGTAACGCACCAGGCAAGGGGTAGTTTAAGCAGACATGTGACCCGGAAGCCAGACTTGTTGATTGAAATTCTTTGAGCAAGTCTCCATACTTGCTTCATGGCGATTGGTCGCTCTCGGAGAGCCTGCAATGTTATCTTTGGCTTCGGAGCTGTGAGCATCCGTAGTACGTCTTCACGAAATTTTGGAAAGAATCAAGATAAGTGGTGTGAGTAAAAATGGGAACTTCCCACGTGGCTGCAGAAATTCAATCGACAAGTCATGTGTTGTTTTCTGGTTTGTTTTTGTTCTTTTGAAGCACAGATCCACCCTCTAAAATGCAGCCAGATGACCGTGTAGCGAGCTACAGCCTCAACAACACATCTCACCAAATCACTTTAAAAGGAATTTCATAAAAGAAAGGGGGACTTTGTTCATGTTACAAGTGTGGGGAGAAGGGAAAAGCCAACCATGTAGGTGATTTCTGTTTCTCAGGATCCAGGATGCTCTGGGCTAAAGAGGAGGACCAACTCAGTTCATGGACCCCATCAGGGTGGCTGGTTCTGACTTGTGAGGAAACTGCAATGGAGGCACCAAGCAAGTCATATCTGTGTGCATGTTAACACGGCTCCCACCACAGCCCTTCCTCACAGCTGTCAAGCCTCCAAGAGCTGTCGAATCCAGAAGCTCCAATGGAGGAAGGCGGCCCACCGGGCTTCCTGACATAACTTCTAGAACTCTTCTCCATCATTTCTGGAAAATTACAGCACACGTCTGGATGCCGTGAGCACTCAGCCAAGGCTGTGCCGGCTCTGCAGAGCATGTTGGCTTTGTCATGGAACAG